TGCCTTCCTCCTCACCTCCAGCTGTCGTACTTCCTCCAACGCCTTAGCCAGCTTTCCTTCCAGGTCCTCCCGTCCCGAGTCCTGCTCCCTGGTGCCTACCTCAATCTGCATGTTCAGCTGCGCTATCTCCTCATCCTTGTTGAGGATATCCTCTCTGAACTGCTCCAACTGCTCCACCAGATTCTCGATCTAAGACAAAGGAATGCCATACTTTCAAAACAAGAGAGACTGGAATATTCAAGCACTTGTAGGCACAACCAAATGTAGACTGTTTGTTGCTTCGTCAATAGACATGCTAGTACAAGTCAAGCAATTCAACACAAATTTTCCCACTCGACAGGCCACAACTAGGTCACATCATTGTGCACATTCAATTGAAAACTGACACAAAATGGGCAGAGTGCCCTCTAGCATTCATGAACTGAGCCATTACCTCTTTGTCTTTCCTCTCCAGCGCCTCCTTGTCTTCTTCCAGTTGCTTCAGCAGCGAGCCTTCGGTGCCGACCACTTCACCCGAGTCTGAGCTGGCCGTGCCATCCGCACCATCTGCCCCATGCTTCAGGGCGTCCAGCTTGGACTGCAACGCTGAAATCTGTGGAGGGGAATGAAAGCCAAGTCAATCTGTGAAAATTGGGAGTCTTTCAAAATTCTTTTCCTGAAACTTTACAAGAGTGAAAATCTCAGGTAAGGATGAAAGCGTACCCACTTTTAGAATGAAAATGATGTAAAGAACAATGGCCCATCTATTACAAATAAACAAAAAAACCAATTTAAAATTGAAAAAGAAAACCATGACAGTACAAAATCAACTTAGGCACGATGTCAAAAAGATTTCAATCGGCTCGCCACGGCGCACTCCAGAGTGCCGCACAGCGCTGAGGGTGGGTGCCCCAGCTGCCCGACCCTCAGCGCCACGGACCTACTTAATGCTGTTATTGATTGGTCTAAACTTCCAACAACAAACTGATAGCATGGGATGGGAGTCAACACGGAACCTCAACTGCTGATAACGTGAAATCAAGTTTCACTTTCAAATTCCCAAACTTTACATCAATTCTTCACAAATCAATCTCAGAAATTTAAAATCACGCATACCTGTATCAGCTGGTCGTAGAGCTGTTTCTGCAGTGCCTCCTTCTCGTGCATGATCTCTGCCTCTAGGTGGCGCTGTTCACCCAGGTCGCGCTCCAGCTCGTCCGTCTTAGTCTCCAGTTGCTGCCGTGATTGGACAGCCTCATCCAGGTGACGCTCTACCTCCTTCAGCTGGCTGCTCAGCTCCCGGGTCGTCTCCTCCGAGAATTGCAGGTCGCGCTCCAGCTGTTGTGCCTTCACTTGGGCCTGGCTGACCAGGTCTGATTTCTCTCGCAGCTCCTCGCGAAGCTCTTGGGCCTGTGTGAAAAGATTTTAACAGTAAGTCATGATCCTAACTGTTCTGAAGCAGGAGAAGTTAACCTTTTGGCACTGACTTCAGTTATTTGTTTCAGTTTTCTATTGCTGTAGTTAAATTTGAGATTCTACGTCTCTGCATTCTATTCAATTTAAATAACAAAGGCTTCATACAGCATACAATTCTTAATGATGTCAACTTCTCAAGCAGTATTTTTAACTACTTTGATCTACCTCTTTTCTGAAGATCTCATCAATGTTTGATGGCAACCTGTCTCTTGATCTCTGGTCTGCTTCCAGTCGGACTATCTCACGCTGAAATTCTTCTCGCTCCTGTTCTCGTTCTATAGTTTGTTGCTGCAGAAAAAAGTTCAAAAACATTTACTGAAATATTTTGCAGAAATTTCTGTTAGTTTCAGCGTTTACAGATATTTTGCAAGCATCCTAAGGGTCACCTTCAAATATTTTAAAATGCATTCTGAAGAAAAAGGTTAGATATTTCAAAGTTATTGCACAGATATTCTACAGATATACTGAAGTTATTATTGGGATATTCTAAAAGTATTTTACAAGTATACTGCAGACACTACTTAGCTACCATCAAATGCTCAGTATACACAGCAGCTTTCCTTCTGAAATATTTGAGTTCTCTCTTAAAAATCCTGAATACAAGAAGCTTTACCTCTAGGAATTGCTTGTTCTTCTTGAGCTGTTTCTCCAGAGCCTCCAGTTCTCGCCTCAGCTCCTCCGTCTCCTTCTTCCTCTTCTCGGCCAGGGTGTCTCCCCGGGCGATCTGCTCTTCCAGCGCCGCCTCCAGGTGGTGCAGTTGGTCCTGGAGGTCCGCCTTGTCCTTGGCCGCCTGCCGCTCAGCGTCCTGGCGCTCTAGGAGGGCGGTCTCCGCTTCCTCCCGCAGGCGGAGGTTCTCCTGGAGGATGCCTGGCAGCAGGATGACAAGCATGAGGAGAATGTTGTCAAGAAGGTGGATTGTCTCAACTAGGTCGATTTAGCCTTGGTAAAAACAGATTCCTTCAGGCCAGTTTAAGCACTTCTTTATCTTTGCCTTATTGCTTTCCAAAAGCCTTTGCAGAAACACTCATCAGCTTGATCCCATGGGAGTTGGTCTGGCAAAATAACATCTAAGTCGGGAATCCCTCAAGTGTAGAAAGATAAGGTGCCCAATTCCAATCAGAAAAATAAGAGCAAGGTTGCAAGAGCAAGCTGTGTTCATATCATCTGCCAAGGCAGATACAATCAAGTGCTAAAATTAATATTTTCTGGGCAGGAACAAGAAGCCTTTGCAAAGCTAAGCGGCGTGCTGCACATCTGGCCATCGGATGCAATGTAACACACCGCATGTGCTGATAATGTTAATACTCTGCTGATGAACCAGGAAATCGCTGGATGGCAAAACCTTTCCCAACCCTTTCACTTTTGTTCCATCAGTATCTATTCCACATGTGTGCATTGACTGAAGCCCCATTCAGAGGTCAAAGGTCACTACGGCGTAAAACTAAACAGTCTGTAAACACAACAGGGCATTTTTCACTTTCTAGATTTCAGTGAAATTGGTAACAAAAAAGGAAATCAGCCGCTGAAGGGGATGTTGTAGGCCTGGGTGTGTGACAGTTTCTCAATGCATGGTGTAACGTGTCAAACTCTGACACAACACATTATCTGTTACCCTGATTCATGTCCAGAAATCCCTACCTTACCCGGACAAGACTAAAGACCAGACACCACCCCGTCCTGTTGATAGGTTATTATCTGGAATTCCATTAAAAATTCTCATCTCAAATTTTGCCCACTCATGAAAGGTGCTGTTGTATTTCATCTGTTACAAAGACGGAGAACGTGAGTCTGTTTCTTGATTGCATCGATGGAAATCAGTTGGGAGTTTAACCCTAACCTTCCCCAACCACACAGGGTTAAACAGTGGTAAAGTGTTTAATTCTGTGGGGATAGGTCTGGTAGGCCCAGACAGCTGGCTTTTGCATTGGGTTTGGCATACCTCAGAAAAACAAAGTCCAACAGCCTCTGTGCACAAAGTCCTATATGGGTGTTTAATTTTGTGTGAATGGGTAAGGTTAGGTCCAGCAACCCTTGAGCAGTTAGGGTTAAGCTGCAGAAAAGAAGCACTTCATCTACAGGTTTACTTTACGGTAAGAAATAGGGATTAATGTCTTAATAAATAATCTTAAAATGAGATCCAAATTCAATACTGAAAAGCAAAAGACTGCAACAGCAGTAATGCCTCTATGCACAACATTCAGAACGCAGACAAACAACTTCTGTGACTCATAATGATCTATAACAGGTAGCAGACGTGTGACGTGCACACAGGCTACATGACTAACAGACTCACTGTCCATTCAGTGTGTCGGGTAGGGGGGGTAATTTTGGTGCAGACCGAAACCTCCTGGAAACCAGCAATGGCATGTGGTTTTGCTTGATAACTGAAGTGACGATGAAAACAACTTCTTAACCTTTGACACTTGACATTTTGTGAATTTGCCCAGGAAAGTCGACTTAAAATGTGATCCTCTATCCCCAAATTGATTTGAAACCACAGGAAAAGTTTTCAAGTTGATTTTAGTATTTATCAGCAACATTTTAGCACAAAGTTAACTATGATTAAGCACAACCTCCACGTTTTTGCACACAAATGGTAAGATGTGATGTTGATTGGTGCTTTTGAAGTGCTAAAACAAAGCTTTATTGACAATATAGAAGATTGTGTGTTCAAAATATCTACTTCAGCCTGGTTAGCGCAGTGGGTTAGATTTTAAATGGGTTACTTCGTGAACTTGTACTTTTGAGAAAAATAGAATGAGTCACATTTACAGAAACAAATTCCCCCTTAGCCACAATGATGACAAGTCATACTCACCTCTTGGGTCTGACATCGATAAGAGGTGAGACAGAGACATATGCAGTCACAGGTGGGGTGACAAACGGGGTGATAGACGTGCACAAGGGAAACGGTCAAGACACCAAGGGGAGGGGAAGAGGGGGGGGACATGCAAAAAAAAACAAAGCACAAGATGAAAGAGGGAATATTGAAAAGGCAACTGGGGTGCTTAAAAATTAATCAGAAAATAATTACAAGACAGGAAATGAAGATAGGGATATGAAAGGTATCATTTCAGACAGAAAAAAACCAAGGACAAACTTTCGACACCGAACAGTTTTCCAGGAAAGGCAGCTCAATTTCACGAAATATTTTCGTTGGAAAAATCCGGCAGAAAAATTAATCAAGCAAACCATTTCAGTTATTGCTTTTCAGTATTTAAGTTCTTCTCTTCCTTATATCATTGCTTGAATTCTTTGGTTTTCATTGTTTAACTTCGTTAGCTTAAAACTTTATTTTGGTGAGGAAGGAGGGTAAGTGTCAGGGATCATGGGGGTGGCAGCTGGCCATTTTAGGAGCAATGGCAATGTGCCCAACACCATCCATGGAGATTAAGTCCCACCACCATTGATCAGCAACCAATCTACATATAACCCCTGTCTGGTGTTGTTGAGTCATTGACAAGTCATCCAATCTGAACGCAAATCGCAAGCTATTCAAATGAACTGTGACAAAAGCATTCCTCAGTCATTGTTTATCCTGCAACTTGTGACTGGACTTGTGAAAGGACTTATAAACTAGACTTATGACTGACTCAACTATAGCCCTGTTACAATTCATGAAAATGGCATGTTTAAAATCCTGCCTCGATTACACAGATGACTGGATTACACAGCTTCCGTTGACTCACCTAAGTCCTCTTGTCCAAGCCGCTGCTCAAACGCCGCCTTCTGTTCCTCCACACGTTCCCTCTCCTGCTGCAGCGAGGTCTGAGCGTGCTCCATGCTGCGCAGCCTCTCTCGCAGCCCCTCAAGCTCTACAGCCATGTTGTGTTTGTCCGCTTCCAGTTTGGTGTTTGTTTCCTCCAGTTCTTGCTTTTCGGCAGCCAGACCATCCATAAGCCCTGATGGTTAGCCAGAATGAATACTCTAAGTACTTTTAATATGGGCTCATTTTGCTGTGCATTAAACAAATCTTTTCACATTTCACTTCTTTGGTACCCAATTTCATATCTTAACTACAGTAATTTTGCATATAAAAACTTGGTAGTCCGTTTCAGTTTTAAAAAATGAAGTTAGTTTTCAACTTCAAAGGTTTTTCAAACTGTGAAAAAAATGCATCTCAGAAGGCCAAGTACCTCATCCAGAGGTGCCAAATCAAGCCGCGCTTAAAGCTCTATACTCAAAACTCAGCAGTGAAACGTAAATAATAAGTATACATCATTATTATGGTTCATTTCACATTCCAATCACAGCCAAAGGGGCTGAATTAAGGGAATGTTCACATGATAACAGTATAGATTACAATTTAAAACATTAAGAAAAAGACATGAAAGGATATGAAACATACTTAAATGTTAATAGATTAACTACATTGTGACATTATAAATGTTTACTAAAAAAAAGAAAGAAAATTACACGAACGAATTTCAGAATTACACCAAGGTTTAAAAACACAGAGGGTTATCTTGCTGGGGTAAAGAAAAGATAGGACTGGTCTTCAGTTTCACAATTTAGGATCAAATTCCATCAGCTCACCTCCAGTCCTGTGTAGTTCCACTCCCAGCTTCTCGCACTTCTCGGACACCTCCTGCAGCTGAGCCATCAAGCTGTCCCGGTCAGCTCGCAGCTGGTTTACCTCCTCCATGCTGGACTCGGTGGCATTTAAGAGCTCAGCCTGGGAGCTGCGGGCACGCTGGATCTGGTCGGTCGTGGCCGAGACCATCTCCAAGAGCCGCTCTACAGAGTTCTGAAGACGGGTGTTGGCACCTGCAGGGTCAAGTTGTGGGTCTGTTAAGATCTCTTTTGCTAGTTGTGACTGAATTTCTGTGAGTGAGAAACTTCTGAGAAAAAAATTAAGCCATGGTGGAGAGCGGAAGCCTTGTGGTATAGCATGCAGGATTCAGAATCTTGTAGATAGATCTTCAAATTGTGGAATCTGACATTGTGTCCATGGGCAAGACACTCTACAGAACTGCTATTTTTTGCACCTAGAAGCCATCTCATGTGAGATCCAAATCAAAATCTACAAAACAGTTGACAAATCTGCCTCCCACTTACCAGTCACAAGCTCCTCCCCCTCCGCGTCCAGATCTGGCCCGTTGAACATGCTCTCCATGAGCTGCTGGGACAGCTCCAAGCCCTCATCACTGAAAAACGATGCCACACTGGTGTCGTGCAGAGCGTCAGGGGGTTCGTCGTGGGGTTGCTGATCCCTGGCAGCGGGCTCGGCTGTTTGGACAGAAAGATACTATTCGATATGTGGACTTCTTAAAATACCAACCAATAAAGGGATGGAATTCTGTCATTAAAAGAGGCTGTAAAAACTTGGCTTTTCTCTGTAACCTACACCTGGAACTTGAAAGACATTACGGTACCAAATGGTTAGGCTAAGCACTTATTCCACATTATCACAGAAAAACTTCTAAACGTCCATTCAACTGAAGCAGTAGTATTGAAACCTCAGGAAAATAATTTTTAAAATTGGACACTGAATTTGAATTTAACATTTAAAGCAGTGGTTCATATCGAAAAACAATCCAGCACCTAACCACAATGCAAGGGCAGTGTACATGTAATTCCCAAAATCATTCCAAACCCTTCTAAGATGCGAAAACAAAAACCACAGCAAAGAATATGACAACCACTCGGAATACCCTTTATTGACCCTTACCTCCCCCTTGTTGCGGGCTGGCCCCGCCCTCCGCCGCCTCCCCTTCAGCCTCTGTTCTCCCTTCCCCCTCCCTGCTGTCCGATCTGCCTTCCCCCGCTGACCGAGTGGTAGCAGCCGCCAGCTTGGCCATCTGCCTGTTGATGGTTTCCTCTGTCGCCATGGTAGCTCGGACCGCCGTGGTGAGCACCAAGAGCAGGTGATTATTAGCTTCTTGCACAGAGGCCCTGGGAACAATGCATTGCCCCCCCCCAACAAGATTAGCATCTAAAAATATCTCTGAGGTTTCTTTCAGGGATATATAAACTTGTATTCTTCCTGCAATGTTTCCTGAAATCACGAGAATAACGCAGCCTATTTTTTGTACTTAAAATGAGACACAACACACAGTAATACATGTAGATGTAGTGGCTAGGCTGAAGAGTCCTGACCCTCTAGGAATACATTCTAGCAACCATGGACCACTTTCACTGAACTTCAAAGGACAAGAATGTGCTAAGCCAAAACAAAATTTGCTTTAACCCTAGCAGGGCTAAGCTCTCCGATTTCAATGTAATTTTGCACAAACCTGGCAAAACATGCAGCACTTCTTGTATTGATTGTTACCCATATCCTGTTGACTTGCCTAGGAAATTAATCTTCTTGGTATCTCAGTCAAATAGAGGCTAAGGGGTTGGGTGGGGAAATAAGTGTGGGTGAACAATCAATTGTCTCTTCAGAATACAGAATCATTAGAAGACCCTCAGCAGGTGCATTTCTCCACAACCAGCCATGCAATAGTGATCACTCTATCTGAACTTTAACCTTTGACCTTTAATTCCAGTCAGACAT